AAGAGAAGAGTTGTGATGGAAGGTTTTCCCACACTCACAGCATTTATAGGGTTTCTCTCCTGTGTGGATCCTCTGATGGCAAATAAGGGATGAGCTCCAAGCGAAGGTTTTCCCGCACTCACAGCATTTATAGGGTTTCTCTCCTGTGTGGCTCCTCTGATGTGCAATAAGGTGTGAGCTCCGAGCGAAGGTTTTCCTGCACTCACGGCATTTATAGGGTTTCTCTCCGGTGTGGATCCTCTGATGTGCAATAAGGGTTGAGCTCCAAGCGAAGGTTTTCCCACACTCGCGGCATTCATGGGGTCTCACTCGGGTGTGGATTCTCTGATGGTGTGAGCGCCTCCTGAACTTTTTCCCACACTCAAAGCCCGTGTTATTTCTCTCTCCCATCAGGATTCTCTGCTGCACCATGGTTTCCTTGAGGCCTTTGTGAGTTCCCCGATAATTAACAGATATTCCAACTTTCTGCGCTGGCTGGTTTCCCTGCCACTTCTCTGGCCTGTGCTGCCCCTGAGAGCCTTTTCCCTGCTCACAACTCCTGGACACACTCCCTTTGCATCTTTGCAACAATGCCCCATGCGCTTCCACTTGCTCCTCTTCCTGCTGAGGATTCTGCTCCATGGTCTCGCTCACCATCCCCTCACCTGCTGGGACAGAGAAAGGAAAACCTCAGAGACCGGAAAGGAAAAGGGGAGAGCAAACCAAGAGAATAGCTGGAGATGGAAAAAAATCAGGGACTGAATTTCCCCAAACTCTTCCCCAAAGTGGCGAGAGGAGGGGATCAATTCTGCATCCAGTTCCCATCCAAACACTCAGGGAAAAGGAAGTTCAGGGAGGAAACTACTGCCAGGAGTTAGTCAGGATGGATAGGAAGCCATGAACAGTATCTGCCCTGAGGATATGACACCTGCTGGGGACCATCCTGAACCCAGAGACCTCACAAGGTCTTTGTTGGGAATCCCAGCTGTTTCTTTCAAGCACTGAGTAGGTTTAATGATCCCTCACCCATGCAGCTGCCTAGCAGGATCTCGCTTTCCTCTGAGCCCTGGAGAGCTGGGGCCCACGGCTCTTCCCCTCGTTCCAGCTGGGAGATGACATCGGGTTTGGAAACTGGAAACCCTGCTCAGAGGAAAGAAGACCAATGAGATCAGGTAACACACAAAAGAAGTTACTCAATTTGTGCATTAACGATGGTTCTTTGAGATGTCTCCCCTATGGGTGCTCCATTGTAGGTGCTATCACATTAAAAACAGCTGTGTAGACCAGTGGCTTTCCACACTATTGTACCCCTTTCAGGAGTCTACATTCATTTTGGCAGTTTCATATGCCCGGCTTTTTCAAAGCCTCCTTGATTTCATCTCTCTCTCTCTCTCTGTGTTGCCTTATCTCAGGGTATGTCTACACTGCCTGCTGGATTGGTGGGCAGCGATCAATCCAGCAGCGGTTGATTTATCGTGTCTAGTCTAGACATGATAAATTGACCCCCGAACACTCTCCCGTCGACTGCTGTACTCCAGCTCGGTGAGAGGCGCAAGCAGAGTCGACGGGGGAGCGGCAGCAATCGACTCACCGCGGCGAAGGCATCACGGTAAGTCGATCTAAGTACGTCGACTTCAGCTATGTTATTCACGTAACTGAAGTTGCGTAACTTAGATCAATCCCCACCTCCCAAGTGTAGACCAGGCCTCAGTCTTTTTGCCCTGAATAGCAGCAAACTTAAGCCCAGTCTGTTTGTACCCTAGTTCCTGTGTCCCAAAGTGCAATGCAGTTGTGTTCTCATGTTCTGCTTCCCTTGGACCCAGTCATTACACATTAACCTCCAGTCTTTGAGACTTCCACTGTCCAGTATGCTTCATTCATATGTGGACAGTTCTTGATAGTGTTTCCATGTAAATGGAGGCAGACCTATGTTACTTCAACAGGAATTACATCCCCATCCCAGAAGTGATATTCACTCCTTCAAACCCAGTGACTAACAAAGCAAATTGAGAGGGCAGCTGACCCATGCATATTTTTTATTTAAAAAAAAAACTAAATAAAGCCCCCATTCTCCAGTGGGAGACAAGGTCAAAGTGAAGGGCTAGGATAATGAATCATAAAATCACAGAAATACATGGGGTAAAAGGACCTCAAGTTGTCAGCTAGTCCATCCTCCAGCCCTGAGGCAGGACCAAGTATACATAGACCATCTGTCTAACCTCTTCTTAAAAACCTCCAGCGACCAGCATTCCACAACCTCTCTTGGTAACGTATTCCTGTATTTATCTGTTCTCACAGTTGGAAAGTTTTTCCTAATATCCAACCTAAACATCTGTCAGGGTTCCCTCCCCACTCTAAACTCTAGCATACAGATGTGGGGACCCGCATGAAAGATCCCCTACGCTTATTTCTACCAGCTTAGGTTAAAAACTTTCCCAAGGCACAAATCCTTCCTTGTCCTTGGATGGGTACTGCTGCCACCACCAAGTGAGTTAGACGAAGATTCAGGAAAAGGACCACTTGGAGTTCCAGTTTCCCCAAAATATCCCCCCAAGCTCCTTCACCCCCTTTCCTGGGGAGGCTTGAGAGTAACCTAGGTGAGCAACAAACAGCCCTTTGGGTTTTTAGGACACTAAAAACCAATCAGATTTTTAAAAACAAACTTTATTATAAAGAAAAAGTAAAAGAAGCACCTCTGTAAGATCAGGGTGGAAGGTAATTTTACAGGGCAGTCAGATTCAAAACACAGAGGATTCCGCTCTGGGCAAAACTTTAAAGTTACAAAAAACAGTGATAAATATCCCTCTTAGCACAGGGAAAATTCATAAGCTAAAACAAAAGATGCTCTAATGCATTTCCTTGCTATTACTTACTATTTCTGTACTTTTAGATGTACACAAATAGTAAGTACATTCAGTAGAAGCTGGATTACTTGCTTGGTTTCTCTCTTTGTCTTCCGAGAGAACAACAACAGCCCAAACAAAAACCTTTCCCCACAGATTTGAAAGTATCTTCTTTCCTTATTGGTCCTTTTGGTCAGATGCCAACCAGGTTATCTGAGCTTCTTAACCGTTTACAGGTGCAGGAGGGATTTTATGCTACCCTTACCTGTATGTTTATGACAACATCCCATGCTGCAGAACAAGCTAGTTACTACTTCTCCCTACCCTAACCCTAAGCAGCAGAGGATAAGGGGAGATCAGATTTCAAGAAGACGACCACGGTCAGTGATGTCAGACAGCTAACAGATCGAGGAGGAGGCGGAGGATGGAGTGCTGGTTCTGAGCTTTGCCTAAGGACAGGTCATTAGAGACTTCAGCAAAAGCAGTCTCAGTGAAGTGCTACAATTTCTGACTGTCAGAGAGTGTGGGGGAGTGAGGGCTCTGCACCCCCTACTTCCTGCGATTCACCGAGACTCTCAGCCAGCCAGTAAAACAGAAGGTTTATTAGACAACAGGAACACAGTCCAAACCAGAGCTTGTAGGTACAGACAACAGAACCCGCTCAGTCAAGTCCATATGGGGGCGGGGGGGGGGCAGGAAGCTTAGACCCCAGCCCTGGGGCTCTCCCCCAGTTTCCCCAGCCAGCTCCAAACTGAAACTCCCCAGTCCCTCCCCTGCCCTTTGTCTCTTTCCCAGGCCAGGAGGTCACCTGATCTCTTTGGTCTCCAACACCTTCATTTTGCACCTTTGCAGAGGAGGAACCCAGGCCATCAGTTGCCAGGAGACAGGGTGTCGGCCATTCTCTGTGCAGACAGCATCACACTGTCCCTCTTGGGCTCTGCAACAATCATAGCCCCTTATCCCACCACCAGATACTTAAGAAATGCATAGGGGCACCCACACAGTATTCAGTGAAAACATTATGACTATTCCCACTTCATCACACTGATTCCCTGAATCCTTCCCTTTCTACCCCCCACCAGACCCTCCTGTGACGGGTTGGGTCACAGAGACCCCCTTTGGACTGTGACCTGAGGTGCTGGAACTACCTCTGAGCCCATAGCTCTGTCAGTTAGCGATGTGAAAAATCACATCCCTACCGGACATAAATTGCAGCAAAAACTGTAGTGTCGACACAGTTACAGTGGCAAAAAAGTCCATTAAAAAGAAAATCAATGAAATTAAACGCCCATAAGCAGAGTTAAGGTTGCCCAGTGCTGCCTCGTGCCCTTCCAGCATGTGGACGGTGGTGAAAAATAAAGCCTCTGAAAACCAGGAAATGAAGAATTAAATTACACACCACCCCTGCAATGCAACCTTAACTCTGCCCTTACTGACCTATTCCCAGTGAGATTTGCAAGCTCCAGGGTTAGGGGGTAAGGGTGGTGCAAAGGTTAACAAACTACCCAAGGTAGGGGCGAATTTTACATCTCTTGAAGTCTTCAAGTCAGGACAGGATGCCTTTCTGGAAGATCTTTTCATCAAACTCAAGGCATTCAGCACACTACAAAGGTAACTGGACGAAACTCCATGGCCCGTATTACACAGGAGGTCAGACTAGATAACCTAATAGTCTCCCCTGGCCTTAAAATTTATTTATCGACAGAAGGAAGGACTAAGCACATTCCGTTGTGTGTTTTATGTTCCTCAGATTTGAATACCAGCATTTATCCGCAGGCACTCCAGCAGTGTGCACTGGGCCAGATGTAGCTTTAAATGAACCGTGGAGGGACTAGTTGGAGCAGCCTGGCAGAGCTGTGACACGAAGAGAGGCGCACGTGAAACTCGAAGGAACAGGTATTCCCCATTTCAGTGCTGAGTGGTGTAGGCAGCGTCAATAAAGGCGCACAAGGGTGTGTTCTTGCCACAAGGATTGTCAGCAGGCTGGTGTCATACGTGCTTGGGGTCTCCGGGGCTCAGTGAGGGGTAAGTGAAGGCAACAACTAAGACGGAATCCTCATTGGAAGGGTAAAGGGGTGGTGACATTATGAAAGTCTGAGATGGATTGTGAGCAGTAGACTCAGTGTCTGAGCGCAGGCCAGGGGTAGGTAGCTTCTGATCCCTACAATGGACCTAACCCCAAGTTTTGCCTTAGCAAAGAGGAGGTGTTAGTGTTTGCGCTATCCAGTGCCTGTGCTCTGTTCCCAAAGTGTTCTGTAGCAGGGAGCGTAGAGTGCTAGTCTATGTGTCATTGGCTTGTCGGGGTGTCGCTGAAACAGGGCAAAGTTGAGAGTGCACTGTGGGGTGTTGTGAACCTTAACTCTTCGTTTCCCCTTCTAAGAACCGAGGGGACAGGAATCCTTACCCAGCGAGGTCACGTTCTCATAGTTCTCCTGCATGACGTCTCCGTAGAGGGCTCTCTGAGCGGGGTCCAGCAGAGCCCACTCTTCCTTGGTGAAAAACACAGCCACCTCCTCGAAAGTCACCAGCCCCTGAAAGAGCAAGAGCCCTCCACTCTGCACCTGCTGCCCAGTGACAACCCCACCATTCACAGGGGAGGAGGGCCAATCACATGGAAGCTCTGGGAGACAGGCAGGATCCGTCCCGCTCCCCATCAGAGCAGCCAGGAGGCATCAGGGTGAGAGGAGAAAGAGAGAGAGCCCCTCACCCCTTCTAGCAGACAGAGATGGCAGGGGTCTTCACATTCAACACTCACCTACCAGCCAGAAGCTGATACAGGAGATGGAGCCCGCAGCAGGGTCCAGGGACAGCCCCCTGGTAGGAATCCCAACACCCTCCCCAGTGTCAGCAGTTGGATGTGAAGGGATGGGGTGTCTTCCCCGGGCCTCACTGGGGGTTGCCCTCTGGCTAGTAGGTTCAGACTCCAGTATTGGAGGCTGGTACGTTTCTCCAGCCCAGTCCAGGGGGGTTGTTTCCTGCTCGACAAATTAGGGAATTTCCACCCACAAATCCCATGGGTCTGTTAAAATCTAGGCCCCACCGTAAACAAATCCCAGCAGGTTTGTCACACCCTGTCCCCCTCCCTTTCTCCATCCTGTGTATTTCCTGCCCCCTCCCACCTCCTGACCACCCCCAGAAGTACCCACCTCCTATGTCTTTACTGCCCTTCTCCCGCCAACAGGAGCCCACCAGCAACTCCCCTATAATCCCTACCAGAACTGGCTCCACGGCAGCCATTTCCCTTCCCTGGTCCCTGGAAGTATGGTATGTAACGCTGCAGCCTGTCAGGGCAAAAAGGGGACTTGTCAAAACAGGACAGTAACGTCACATGACAATTCCCCCCGACTCTTTCCTCGCAGACAGATGTTCTTGACTCTGTCATGCAAATAACAGAAACATTAAAAACACAATTAGTAATGGGGGGACGGGAGGGGAGACATGGGACTTTGAATTCCTTTTCTAACAGGTGTCTCGGTAGTTAAACAAACACAAAGTGTCCAATAAGTTCTTGGAATGTGTTGGGGACACCTGTTTGCTTCAGAAGATGGAAGTAGTAACCAGGGAGACAGGCATTTAAGGGTTGATGCTGACTAACTGGCGGGAGTTAGTTAGGAAATGGAAGGTGGAAAGCAATATGGGCGAAAGTGTTCATGAAATGATGATTTTGTGATTCTAAGGCTGGTCCACACTAACCCCCCACTTCGAACTAAGGTACGCAAATTCAGCTACGTTAATAACGTAGCTGAATTCTAAGTACCTTAGTTCGAATTTACTGCGGGTCCAGACGCGGCAGGCAGGCTCCCCCGTCGATGCCGTGTACTCCTCTCACCGAGCTGGAGTACCGGCATTGTAGGACTGATGAATGAAATTGTTTTTAATTGTTTACTTTATTAATGTAACTTCATAAGTAAAAGTTTTATGAATGAAA